CTTGCTGTTAGACACAGTTTATGATGTGAGAAGTACTGTACACTTACATTGCCGTTACATTCTTTCTATTTTCTTGAAATGGAGCAACCAGGAAAACAAATATCTTTTTGGTTTTAATCAATTTCCATTAGTGCCGTGGCAAAACAATGTCTCTGCAGATTTGAATACCTGCAGTCATCAATAACAACAGAAACCGTAAGTAGTATTTTTCACAGTAATGAAAACTTTATTACTATATATTTCCTTGCACCATTAAAAAAATAGCACAAACAGAGCCTACTGCAAAGCAATAAATTTCCTGGGAAGACGGCTCAATGGGAACCAGATCCAAGATGCTTTTAATCTTAACTCCTCTCTCTCTCTCTGCAGTGTCTAAACACGTTTGAGTAAAGCTAACAGATAAACTGCATGTCCTGATCAAATGCAATTTGTAGTTCTCTTAACACTTCTTAGGAAAACGTTGGAATACAGCTGTTAACAGAGAAGGCATTCGTCAGCAGGGCCTTCGAGTGCGGAAGTAAGGAGATATCTCTGCATAGTAGCAGGCATCCGTCCAGACTGCTTACTGAGTGTGTACCGGAGGTCAGACCAAACAACTTTTAGATGTTGCTCAAATTCCCATAATCCCTCAAACAACCTGATACCATAAGCAAACTATTTCTTTGATATTTGCAAAGTGCTGATCAACGCGAGTGTGACTGAGATCAGTCTTGCTTTTGATGTTTTGCAAAGCGTAGCGGCCGGTGACACAGAAACTGTATCGAGTTCGGGGGGGAGGTAGAGTATGGTAACAGGTGGTGAGGAGCCTTGCAGAGTGCCCAGGGGACTGAGATTAATTTGGGGGTCTTGCAGGGAATATCCTTCCTCATTACGTACAGACCAGCCGTTGAAGTGCATCCAAAATAACTGCAAGGCAAACAGGAGATGTCTTCTAAAATAGTACTCAGTGTGTAATGTTCCTGCTTCTAGAAACCTCCGGCTGTGGGAATACAGAATCATGCTCAAGTGTTAATTCCATAGTTTTACTGACCTGTACCTCTAAGCAAAACGTGTTATACATCCCCTTCCTATTCAACAATACAGAAGATTGTCTTTAATTTTCAGCAACAAACATTACTATAATTTTATACCTCTTTAAACCCCCTCTTCTTTAAGAAAGATTAGCTGTACAGTACAAATGAAAGACAAGACAGCTCACTGCAAAAAGCTACGGTACAAACCCTATTTGATTCAAAGCCAAGAAGATGCAGTTCAACACTTAATAAACTATAAACCACAGAACACTTTATATTTGCTCCCATTACTGTGGCCAAAGAAATGTTATAGGTAATAGGTACTCTAGTATTGCCCTTAAATGGTTGAAAACTTTACTTAGTAAGCACTTATATTTTCTCTTTTTGTTCCGAGGTTGAGCTGGTTACATAGAGTGTTCCCCAGGGGTTAGTACTGGACCCTCTGCCATTCAGTCTTTATGTTTCCAACTCTCCCCTTGGTCAAACAGATGATGTGGATGATACTCAAATCTATGGCCACAGGAAACCTGAAACCAAAGTACTGCTGCTGTCATAGTACACTGTGATTGAATCTCAAATGTTAAATATTGGACGACAAACATTTTTACGCCTCAGTTGCAATAAGACTGAAGTTATTGGCTTCCTCCCATCTTCAATCCTGGAGAGACTTTTGTACCTCATGTGTAGAATATGATAAGGACGTTGTTTTCAAATCAGACAAATATTGCTGGGTTGCATTTTTTTCTCCTCAGGTGTGTCCTGCTTTTTTTTTTTTGCCAAGGACTGATTATTGTAAGTCCTACAGAAGCCTCTAAAACTGAAGTCAAACTCCAATACTGTATGTACAGAATGTGGCAGATAGAACCCCTGAACACTGTTTGTCACACACGGTACACACACGTGAGCTCATCACTCCTGTACTGGAGTACGGGCACTGCTACACTTCCTGTCAGGCTCTGAGTTGGTCTTTTACCTTCTTTTACTGTACCTGCATGGTGTGGCTCCACATTAATGAGCTGTTGTACCGATTCACTGGCCTTCATTAGCTCAGCTGATTATGATTATTATATGTTCCCATTATATGTTTGTCTACATTCTAGAGTCCCAAGCGACTCTAACCCAAAGTATTTTAAACACTATGTACTGTTTGTGTGGTCGCATTTTTCTGGAAGCTGAACATCAAAAACACATTTTATCTTCTTTCTTGCATTACTACACAGAAGAGAGTCTAAAGGGTACTGCAAATCCAGAAACTGTATATACCCTTTTCTTTGAAACGGTCATAAGGTCATTGGTAACCCTGAAATCCCCATCCATCCAAAACTGAGGGGATAAAAAGATGAAAAACAGATTGTACTGTACTAAAACTGTAAATGACACAGTTTTAGATCCAACCGTCAGAGCTATAGTAATATGCATGCATTTACATTCCAAATAAGGAGCATCTCTTTAATTATTTATTAGATGGTAAGTGGTCCACATTAAAAACTCTTTGCTCCTGTCTCAGGGGTTATTGATGGGAAAACAACCGACTGGAGCTGCTTGACGTTATGACTTCCTTCCTCTCACTTCTAATGGAAATTGTAAGAGACTCAAAGCAGTCACAGACAACAATTTTTATTACAATTAAGAAGGTTTCCTTGCAAATAAAAATGTTCAGAAAATAATAATGTTCATTGTTAGGTTTCTTCTTGGGAATTGCCAGTTCCTTACTGATTACATGATATTAAAAAATGTAGTACAGATAAAGAATGATAACACACACCACTTGAAGGAGCTGCAAAATAACTAGTTACAGTATGTGAACTTCAAGCATTGATGATGTTAAGCGTTATTACTGTATGTTTTATTTCCTGACAGCATTCTAAATTCCATGTCCCATCGCAATTCCAATCTATTTCCAAAATTAGATCAATAAGAACATTTTCCTGACGCTGATATGAACTTGTTACGCATGTCATGTAACTACTCTGAACCATGCCCCAAGGTAATTGTGTAATGTTTTACTCTTTAAGATCAGATCGAAAGATGGACAAATTATGGTCACTACACAACTGATGTGGCGATCGACACAGCTTTAATAACAAATGTGTCACAGCTGTGATATTAGAGTGTGTAGAGCTAGAAAAGAAGACAGGGCCAGACATGACTGAAGGACTGTGCTGAACAGATGCTTAAAAACCAAACGGTACCAGATCCTCAAGCCCCTTGTGCTTCTCCCCTTATAGAACCGTACACCATAGCCTTGGAAAGCAGATGTACTGTACAGTAGATAAGTCAAGAAGTAACAGGTTTATTCCTTGCTGAAAAGAGAAGAGAGAAAACACAACTGGTGAACCTCTCGCACCTGAAGAAGACTTCACAGCCGAAACGTTGTGTTTCTCTCTTCTCTTTTCAGCATGGAATAAACCTATACTTGTTCCTTTGCAGACTACGCATGCTGATGCAGCTCCCCAACTGAAGTAGATAGGTCAAGCTGATTAATAGTACATCCACACCATTTCTGCCAAATGCATCTCCCGGGTAACTATTTTCTAACCTTATCTGAAATCCTGGTATTCATGAGACTCATGTTATTGGAATAAGCACATTCAAAAAACCTCCAGGCAGTGAGTAAAAGACTGGTAATGCCTTTATGAGCTAACAGAGGGCTTTTACAAGAACGAATAATGCAAGAATGAGTAGATGCTAGTTACTTTGTCTAGGAATATAATGGAAAACAGGCCTTCGTGATCCTTCAACATAACAAGGCCGTGCTCCCCCCCTCCTGGTGACTCAGACCAGAGCTCTCCCCTCAGTGCCGACTGCTTTCACTCAATAGCCCATTGTTTCCCAATGTTTGTGTTTTTGGCTGACAGGTTTACTTGGAGGAATTGTTTTCTCCCTTTTGGGCACTAAAATTCACATTTACTGTTCAATAAGCTCAATCATCAGAAATGTTTCTAGTGTCACAGATTCACTGCAATCTGTGCCGTCGCACTGGAATACAGTTGGTTCAATTGCCCACAGATCTGATGTGTGTTTTGCACACGATCGGACACATATGTGCTGTAGATACGCAGAGGGTCTTCCCGATCCCTTCCATTATGAGGCCAAAAGGCGGCCCCTTTTCCCTATTTAATTCGTTATTTCAGTCAAGCTGTTGGATGGATGAAACAGAGTCTTTGAAGAGCCTGAAACATGCACAGTAATTGATGACAGTCGTGCTTCATTGCTGCAATGACTTGCCTCAGAAACAAACGCCACAAGGATCTGATTTCATGGAATGTGGACAAAGGCATCGTTCAAAACAGATTGCATACGCAGATTTTGCCCACAGAGCCATGTGAGATACATATTGTATGGGTCTCACTTCTCTTGAAGTTATCCAATCACTGTACTGGATGTCACACACCTTCTGTAAAAACAGACAGTAGGTATAGCCTCAAGTATCATGTCACTTACTGTAAAAATTATATGCACTAGGCAAATACTGTACATACAGTATAAGCACTTTAAAATTGTCATCAAGGTTTTCAACAACAACAATTTAAAAACAAGCAATTCTGGCTGATTTTATCTTTTTGTTTTTCAGAAAATGGAAAACTAATACTTTGAGATGCCTAGAGAACACAACATTGAAAACCCATCACAGGAAGCCTACTGTAGCTGAACATGGAAGACATTCAGTAACAAGCCCAGTTCACTCTTTTTTCCCCATGTCCTTTTTTGCAGACCACAAGAACCTTAATTAATGTGTTAAAACCCTTGAGACAAATCACTACTTGGACAACTTTTATAAATGTACGGTTTATAACTTTTTACAGACACAAGAGTTAAAGATACAAGATAAAGAGATCTTGTAAGATAATGATCTTGTAAAGATACAAAGAGTTAAAGATCTTAGGGTAAAAATAAAATCCTTCCTTCATTTTTCTAGAAATATAATTTATCAGTACCTACTGTAATATGCAGGATTTCTAATAAGTGAGGAAGAGCAAACCTTACCTTGCATTGTTGCTTGTGTTGGTTCTGAAAGCAATGGAATGAGCAGGAGGTAGATGAGGTAGACAAAGGAGAGCCCATTGTACCGGAACAGGCACGCTGAAAGAGAAACGCACACACACCTTAGTTCCACCTCTTCTCTTCCTATATAACTACAAAACGGAGCCTTCCCTTCTTAAGGCAAAGGTTGATTTCCGAAAATGTAAACAGCCATCAGGCAATTTAAACAAAAATTAACAGTCTGAATGGCCTCCCCTGAAGCTGTTGTGATTTCCTAAGCTAACAGTCTGCAGGCATTACGGCTTGTCTCAAGCCTGTAGCGACTGGTGAGTACCATGTTGCTCACTGAGTGAATAAATTCATAAATTCATCAATTAACTTGTTACAACTATATTCAAACCCCTTATGACCACAAGACATACATTTTCATATATGCCCAAACTCTAATCCTAACTCTACACATAGCTCTAAACCAAATAAATATAACATGCTCTTTGAAAAATGAAAAGAACACTTAATTATCCGTTTCTGTCCCACTTTTGTAATAGCAGTCATACTGTAAATAGTTATGTATTTTGTTAGAACCAGCTACTGTATGTAGCCTTGTAGGTATTATGTAGGCCACACAAAAATCTAATTCAAAGAAAGATTGATCAAATGTTCTGATGAAACTAGAAAGTTTCAGTGGGTTCTGAGGAACTTTAAGGCAAACTAAGGCCTCTTTCACACTGACACTTTCCGGAAATTTTTCTGGTGCAATTATTGATACGTGTGTTGTACTGACAGCCCCAGCACCCTCTGGAAACTCAGACTGTCGAAAGCCATCAGCAACTTCGCAGAGACATTTTCCAGGACAAGCAAGAAAAAATCATAAACAGGCAGTAAAACCTGTGCAACGGCCTTGTGTTTCACTCCCAAGAGCTTGAGGTGCTTGTGGCAGTGCTTGTGAAAAGGTGCAATATTACACTGCATATTTCTTCACACATTTTATCGCACTTTCCTGGTGATTGAGTCATGTAGAAAACAAAATTGATTTACTTTGTGTGTTTGACAGCTAGCTGCCACACGTTATGAATGAGATTGGTAGTAAAAATATTATTACATTAATACAAACTGTATTTGTGCAAATATATTAAATTGATATTGTCCAGTAAACATTAATGCTTACAGAGATTCTTTGATGCTCACGTACAGTACATAGTCAGACATCTAATAATGTAAAGTACAAATATTATATTAAGCACTATTTAGACTGTCACATTAAGCTTTGACCAGAGGAAATGTGTAAAAGGGACACAGTCTTGGTTTATTTAGTTTTTCCTTAACGTAGTTTAGCTGCTGAATTGGAAAAACGCCTTTTGGTCTTAGATATAAAAAGGTTTGGATCCATTTTAAGTGATATGTGTCAGTTTGAAACGTTTTAGAGGGGGGATTCATAAACAGCAATCCTGATAAAATGTTTTAAAGGTAGCGAGTGAATGAACCACACTCAACTTCAAACTTTGCTGCCCTAGATGAAGTAGAGCACACACCATTAGCAGTTAATGAAATATTTATCTTACATATGTTTCTTCACAGAACGTGCCACTTCTTCCAGTCAGATCATTCAGCCCTTCACTACAGTTCCGTGTTCACATCCCCTTTCATTCCTGAAATCCCAACCTCAAAATGTGGGCCAGCTGGTCAATCACGAATACAGTACGAGCACAACAGGCCACCTACAGTAATATCTGAAGGTAGAAGGCAGAGGGTCTTAAACACTACCAACTAAATCTTAGGCAGCTGAAGGTCCTCCTGCCTGAGACACAACCCTTTATTCCTCATAGAAGTTCCCCTTGTGCCATCTTGTGTTATTATTATTTACCACCCTAATAACCTTCCCCTGCATCTGTGTTCCACATCTCCTGCTCTGGGCATCTATCCATTGCAATATAATGAAGTGTATAACTTACAGCTGATTACATTAGTCCAGCGGGACTGCTATGTGGCCACAATGACAGTAATCTAAGTTTCCCAACACTGCGAGGCTAAAGGCCATGGATTGTGTGGCAATTATTTATGAACCACCTGGCACGACTACTGAATGTCAGTCAATCACAGCTTTCATCCCGTTTGCGGCAATGCTGACTAGCCACACGACATCTTCCACTGATACTGTCGCGCTCTCGGGTTCACGTGGGCATGCGCCCTCGCTGCTGCCACCTCAGGTCGGCCCCCCACTGCTGGGGACTGGAACCCAGGCCTCCGGCTTTGCACAACAGGGACCCAGCCAGTTGAGCTAAAGGGAGCTCTACCCCCAGCCCGGCGGCTGCGGTCCCTGGGGTCCCTTCACGGGGAAGGGCGGTGACGTCACCGTGCTGGCAAGCCGGCTTGCACAACCTCTAATGTCGGCCGCATGCGTTACAATATGAAATTAGAATGAGGCGTCAAAACTGTGCGTGTTTGTGTGTGTGCGCGCGTGTTTGCTCAGAAGGGAATGTAGAGACCCCAGATAGCACACGTGAAGTCCTCCTGTGCTTTAACACTAGCAGACAGGATTAAGGACTCTGTGGAAGAGAGTGTGAAGATGAGGGAGAAATGATTAGTGTAAATGATTAGTGTAAGAAAAAAAGTGATTTACAGCTGAATCACTCAGATAATTCGGTTATTCTGCTATTTCATTTATAAGGCTCCAACGTCTCATCATTTAGGGCAATTGGTACTGATTAAACAGAAGTTGGGGGGAAAACTGATGTAAATGGTTACGCCACGTTATGTGCACCGGGGTCTCTGTATAAAAGGGATGAGTTTGATTCATGTAATTGAGAGGAATTCTAATATTCTGGACTTCCTAAGATTGGCTGAAAGGGAAAAATGTGAAAGAAAAAAGTGGAAAGTGTGAAAAGGGGAAGAGAAATGAATGTAGCTCCGCTTCTGAAAATCTGTGTGAAGACCAGTGTCCTGTGTGGGCTTGTTTGAAAGTGGACCACTGGCATAACTTAGACTGTAGAGGAGTTCTGTTCACCAGATGTAATGATGTCAAAAGAACGCCTTGTGTTCCAAACCACAGCACTGATGTACACTGTCTAGTTTTCAAGGGCGTGACTTCACTTCGGTAAGATGCTCACTGTACTGGGCCTTGTCACACATGTGAGCAGGGGATTAGCACAAACTTGCACACCTTGTGACCATGAGCTGTGTGGATTGGGTGTCAGCATTACCCACAAGGTGTGCAAGTTTGTGCTCGACAGCTGTGGAACTCGCTCGCACCACACACTTCAGGTCATCATGGCCTAATCTCCTGCTCACATGGGTGACAAGGCCCAGTACAGCAAGCATGTTACCGAAGTGAAGTCATGCCATTGAAAACTAGACAGCGTACATCAGTGCTGTAGTTTAGACTATGCTCTTTTGACGGGACACAGTTGCTAGTGTCCAGGATGTCTTTGCAACTGTGATCTAATACTATTACATACCTGTTACATATACAGCCCCAAGGGTAACCATATTGACACAAAAATGCTATATAATGAAATATTATTTTAAGGAGAACATTCTTGATTTTTACTATTTACATAAAACTGTGATTCATACATACTTCTGGTATAGAAGTGTTTGGATTAATAGCCTTGTCTAGCAGCAGCCAGCTTTTAACAGCACACTGTACTATCTTCCCAAACTATTTTCTCCATTTCTGAGGAGATGTGTTTTTGAACGCAAAACCCACCCTGTCAATCCTGTTCAGTTCCTGTCAGGAAGCTGCAGGTGAGAAGCTCAGCACAGCACAAGGCTCCTGTTATGTCCTGTTAAGTTTTTGTGCTTCAAGTCAATTTTTATGGTGTTCAGACACACTGAGGAAAATATTTTTACACAGAAATAAAATCAATTAGTCAATAACATTCCACAGCTACATCATGAATACATTTATAGATCACCTGTACAGTGTATATGCCATAAGGTAGACTTTGGCTGCTTAATAGACTGTTTATGGTACCACATACTGAAGGACATATGTGGTCACAGTATGTTACTGCTTTATGGTGTCAGGCTTGTCTAGTGTGGTCACTGAGATTTTGCATTGTTTTGTCATGTTTGCGGTTTCTGACACACAACTGTGAGATGGTTATGACATGTAGTACTGTACGGTTTAATGCATTTTATTCACATGATGTTGGCAGCCTAACAATCGTTGATTGTTGACTTTTTTTTTAATTCAGTACCAGTCCTCCCAATCACAGAGAAAAAGAGGGTTAATTTGCACATTTTTCACATTACCATTTGTTTCAAGCACTGAATGTCAATGTTCATTGGCAATTTTTTACCCTTGAGCTGTAACAATTGAATTGCTACATACTATTACAGTAGTAAGATAGCAAACCAACATCAGAACTGCTACCGCTTCACAAGCCTAGATGATATTTCAATGGTTCTGAATGAAAAACAAAGCGTGACTCAAAATGTTGACTGAACGATCTTTGGATAGAATGACTTACACATTTTCTTTGAATTAAAATATTTTTTACAATTGTTTTTGGGTGAACCAGTTCTTTATAGGAACATAAGGTACAGTACGGTAGGATTTGTTACAATTAATACTGTACAGTGCATACAGTTAATTTATATTTGCGTGTGTGTATTATGTAAGTATATCTTGACTCTTTGGTAAACTGCAGTACTTGTATCAGTGCTTCCCTCTTACAGCTTGTAGATCAGATTCCTGATATGAAGTCAAACCACATGGATTAAGGATACATTACTTAACACAGAGCTGCCTTTAAATTCTACCTTTAAGTTCTATATATCTATAATGTCCATCTTGCAAGACAGGGGTGCCAGCTACTGCTTTGAAGCACACATCATAAGAAATACAGTGTACAGTGTATATTACATATTGCATATTACAAAACTTGAGATTCAAAGACATAAAATTCCCCCAAAAAGAAAAAAACAGAGAATACATTTCAAAACGCTGCAGTATTTTAAATTATTTTAAATTAAACTTCATCCCAACTTAGACTTTTTTAATGGTAAAGTCAGTGTAAAATAAGGAGTAAACACGTGTCTTAGTACAAATATCATCCTGGTTTCTGCAGGAAAAATTCAATGGATCAGAGAATTGC